TACTACTTGAAATGTAAGACAATAGGATGTATGTGGAATAACTGAAAATTAATTTTTATGTGTTGTGAATACTGGGATTAAGTCCTAGCAAAAGATTACTATCGATTTAACAGGCATTTACTACAAAAGCTATGTTCTCAGGTGGTTTTTCTTCCAACTTCTTTCTGTTTGTCTCACATTTGTGAGTCATGCTTTAAAGGCTTTAGCATTGTGACGCTAGAAAACGTAACATTTTCCCATGAAACTAAGAGACAAAGAACAAGAATCATACAGTCATGAACGGCAGCATCTTACACAAATGTTTTACTGTTGTGAAAAATGACTCTCACTCACAGACTAAAAATTCATGGTTATACTTTAATCCACTTATATTTTAAAACATTGTTTCCATCCATCTAAATTTGGCCTTGATGGCATTTTTCTCCACATTATCCTTTCGCAATATTTCCCGGTGATTTTTCAGGAGTTTGAGGGAAAGGTTATGGGGGAAAAAAGACATTAACAGTGGCTGCAAAATATCACACACAAAATACATTACTTTTTAAATCCTCACCTGAGGATCTGTTTTTGTTATTTATTTTAGAGAGGGAGAAACATTAATTGGTTGCCTCCTGTACCTGCCCCAACCAGGAATCGAACCCTCAACCTGGGTATATGATGTTTTGACACCTTAAGAAACCTTTCTGGTTGGGGAGAGATGACTCCTCCCAGGGTTAGCCAATTCTTAGAAATCGAATTGATTTCTAAAGAGTTTTGATGCCCTGACCCGGAATCAAACCCACCACCTTTTGGTGGTATAACACTCCCAAAAAACTGAACCACCCAACCAGGGCAACATCTCTCTTCTTATGGAGAGTAATACACCTCAGAGCTCAGGGGGTTACTGGTATATTGTTTTTAATTGGCAAATCATGTGGTTCTCAAACATCAACCTGCACCAAAGTCCCCTGGAGAGCTTGTAAAAGGTTGCTGTTCCCACCCTGTTTCAGATTTAGTGGGTCTAAGAGGGCTGAGTGAGCTGCAATCATTGGTCCAGGCAGGCTAGCACCACTACCGTAAGCATGTAACTCTCTTCCCCTTGCCTTTTCACTTCGGACCTTGCCAAGTTTGTTCCATGGTGAACATCCTTAGGACATACCCCATTCTTCAATACTGTGCTTTGATATATATACATTTTTTTTTTATCCCTCAAATTTGGCAATTTTACTAAGTGCCTATGTCTATTAGAGGTGGCAGGAAATTTTCTTCTTAGTCACGTTTGTTTTGCTGGATTTGGTAAAAACCTTATAATCCACACTTTTGAGCAATATCATTCCTTGTCCTTGGTACTGTTCAATGCTGCTGTTCCCAGGCATTTGAAATTCATTTGTTGTGATCTTAACGTAGGTGAAAGCATCCATCTCTGGGCCACTTTGTATTGGTGCTACTAGAGGAACCCACCACTTTCCTCACCTCATCCCTCTGTACCAGTGTCGGATGGGTGGGATTCCCTCTTGATTGCTGCCACCATCAGTAACTCCACTGTCAAGACTGGAGTAGGAGATAAGGAAATACTGACAAGTAAAATGGACAGCTGGAGCATTAGCAAAGGAAGCAGCTGACAGCAAGCGAAAACCGCTTCTATCATCCCTCCTGCCATCCCCGAACCATGACACATCCTGCAAGCCATGCCCTTAACTAGACTACATCCATGGCTGGCCGAATAAGCCACTCTGCTCTCATCCCAGCCCAGATAGGGCTCACCAGACACAGAATACTATGGCCCCTAATGCTGTTTTTACAAAGCCGCGGGAACAAAACACACATGGCTCAGAAGCACATCAACAGTGCCAGTGCACTGCAGTCTAGCTCCTTTCTCTGAGAGGCGTCTGTGATAACTGCCCCTTTACTTTGCAGCAACAGGCTCCCATTGCTGTGGTCTCAACTGTGTTTCTGATTCTAAAATGCAAAGACATATCAGATTAATCTACTTGGGACTCATAAAGAATTTCATTCCCTGTTTTGGTGTGGAGTTTTACTCACCAAAGATGCCATAAGCAGCACAGGTTAGATTTATTTAAGCTTTTGGTCATTTTGCTGCTTAACTGCCCTTGTTTGCAGTCTGTTTCACAACCCAGCAAAACAATGCATTTGATTTCTAAAGAATTCAAGTTTAAAAGCACGCACCATGAAAGACTATAATCTGTCCCCAAATTTGGCACCATTTAAACTGCTACTAATTTCCTCTTCTGAACAATTCTTATAAAAAAGCAACACAAGTTGTGATGCAAATGAAGTTGTTCCCTTTAAAACACTGCATCTGAAAAATAATCTTAAATTCCCTTAAACTCATAAGCAAACTAACTTTTATGAATGACAGTAGTAGATGATGTCTTGACTTTTGATAATTTGGAAAATATATAGGATTAGGATTAGACAGGCAGGTGTGTAGCCATTTAGGATAATCCAGACCCTGAAATAACTAAGAACATGGAACTCAGCCTGTTATTACTTTCGAGCAGATAAAATACATGTAAACTCAAGGATTAACCTCAAAAAGAATTATTTTTTAAATATTACAAAACCTGATTTTGAAATTATATCTTTTGCTAAAAGATAACAGACTTTTCTTAATTTATGACATCCTATAGTTTGCTATATAAAAAAGAATTAAAATTTAAGGTTCAAAATACACTCAATTCTAAGGTTCCTTTGGAATTGACTCATACAGAAAACCAGCAGAATTCGTTAATAGTTCTGTAAGCAGGCTCATGAAGCAGCTTACAAGAACACAGTTTAAAAACTTGTGTTGCAAAGTACTAATGTGCTTAATTGCTATTTTCTTGGACAATTAATTTCTTCCGCAATTATTATAGTAGATAAGACATTTTTTGGTGATCCTTGTTGAAGGTATTTGAAATATGTAGAAAAGCATGCCCAAGAAAGACTATAAACATCCATGGCATACTGTTTATTCTCTCTCTCTCTGTCTCCTCTCTCTTTCTCTTTATCTCTCAGAAACAGAATTTACTGAGGGATAAAAAACTGCATGCCACAGGTGGACAGCAGGTAGGGAAGCCCAAGTGGGATACCCCATCACATACTGTTTCAAAAACATGGGTTTCAGAGCTACTCAGGTTTATCAACGACAAACAAGAGATTAAAACCCAGGGCAGAGAACGTATGAATGTCTGGGATTTTAATACTGGCTTATGTGATTTTGAGCAAATCACAAAACTGTGATTGCTCTTGTCTCTGTAAAATGGCAGCAGTCACCTGCCTTTACATCATAGAGATGTCTAAAATGTAAAGTTGTATATATAAGTTATTTAGTTACAGGTAGAAAGAACTGTCAGGCAACATGCCATGAAGAAAAGATTCTACCTGAACTATGGAGGTCTTACTAGGCTATGATCACAGGACCAATCTCTGCATGAGCCACAGAGCTTAATGCAAAGAAAATGAAATTATATCCAAGGATTTCCCCCTCAAATCCAAAAGAAGTATGTTAGAAGCGTGTGCCTCTGGACACTATGGAGACTAGGTAAGAATGCACCTATGACAGTAAGATCCACTTTCATCACTATTCAGTAGTGCCATACTATATTCATCAGACATTCTACCTTCTCCATGGCTGGGTTACAGCCTGCAGGGGGCAGAACACTTCCCACCATATGAGAGCAAGGATGCTGTGTTGGCTTTAGCACTGCTCCTCACCCCACAATCTCCATGTCCCCTTCCTCCACCCTATTCCTTGTTAGGGACAACTGACATGGTCTCAGTCTTACATAAAGTGCCACATAACTTAGCTTAAGCCCCCTTTCCAACTAGACTCACGCCAACCCCTCAGACGAGGGAATCCTGGAGCCACCACTGCCAAGGGCTAAAATTTTCCGGGGACACAGTAAAGCAGCCTGCCACCATATGCAGTGTGAGAGAAAGGGGCACCTGCCCCTCAGGGACAGGAAGCTCTGTCCCACTCAGCACCTACTGGAGCATAGAAAAGTTCAGGTGCAAGAGGGGGCATCCCCTAGAACAGTGCCAGAGCAGTGGGCACTTAGAGACCAATGTCTGCATATTTCAGAGTAAACGTACTAAATTTGAACAAAACAAGAACCCTTCTATCAACCAGGCCCCTGAATGCAAGACACTCTGGGTAATCTTTTCTCTAGAAAGAGTGGCTTCCTCCAGCAGCTCTAGGCAGTCCCTTATTCCTCATCTTGACAAAAGAGCATCAACTTCAGGCATGGATGTGTACATAACTCTACACGCAGCTCAGCTGTCACACACATGGCAAATATAAAGGCATGTCAAAAGACATTTTTCCTCCCCAAAGTATAACCCCAAGAAGCCATTATTATAATAGAGTATGAATATCTGCTGCAGGTTATTGACCTGTAAACTAACAATAAAATCCCGTTTAATATGTAAAGGCTTACACTGCAACATGAAGTATAATATTAAGACACAATCCACTGACTATTCTAAGTTTGCTGTACAGTTAAACCATTTCATTACCTCATCTCTCTCCCTCTCCCTCCTTCTCTCTCTCTCTCTCTCTCTCTCTGTGTGTGTGTGTGTGTGTGTATAAAATGTTCTCTTTCCATAGAACACCAACTTTGGAGATGAGGCAAAGTACAAAGCAGCTACAAGACTGGAAGGAGACCCCAAGTCTATGGTGCTGGTGTCGCTTCTGAGGCTTCAAACTGAGACCATGGTGGATTTATCTGATTGGCAGTGTGAGTAAAGCAAGGCCAGGCTGAAAGGCAAGCCTTGCCTCCTGCAAGCACATTTCCACACACAGGTCTTAACTCAGTGTTTACATTTGTCTGGAAATGACTGCAAATTTGGAACTTTCTCAAGTGATATTAAAAGCTCTACACGGGAAGTATGCAAAGCAGTTACGAGTTAAAAAAAAAAAAAAAAGAAAAAAGACACACCTGCAAAAAAGCAACAGTTCTGTAACCGGAGCTATAGGTAACTGCTAAGATAGCAATAGCAATAACAAATATAGCATAGGATGACTTTTTAAAAAAATTGCTGCCCCAATACTTTACTTTTTTAAAAAGACACAGATTTCCACAATATGATTTTCTAAGAGAAAGAGTCCACTGCTTTGTTTGAAGAGGAAGGAGCCAGTCCTACTGATAAACAGACTGGGAATATCAATTGAGATATACAAGACTATATAACACAAAATCTAATATTGTTTCACAACACCCGCCGGCTCCTGGTGGACGATCTACTGCTATCTAGCTGCATCCAGGACTCTTTTCTTGTGGCATCTTAAAAAATGTGGCTGCAGCTGAATCGGCGGCTTTCTCTGGGGCAGAGGTCCTGACCAGCCACTCCGTATTGGGAGATTTCGGGGCCTGTGGCGCTGGTGCGATTGGCTCCACCACATCCGCAGGAACTGGTGAGATTGCTGCAATAAAAGGAAAAAGGGGAAAAATCCAGGGGAGGCAAATTAGAATGAGCAGATACTTCAACCCCAAATATTCTTAATCCTTATATCTTATGCCCTACTAACCCAAGTGGCCACATAAGGTTTTTCTTTTTTCTTTACAAAGAAATAAAGGCCAGATGTAACGAAGGTAAGCATTTCTCTGAGAAAATGGGTTTAAATGAACAAATAAGCAAATTCAGTAATACAAATTCATAATGTAGTAACTATCACTTCTTAAGCACTTACGTGCTAGGCACTGTATTATGTAAACACTGCATTCATAATCTTATTTCTTGCAAACTCTTAGAAGTAGGTATTGTCATCTCCATTTTCGGATCAAAAAATGAGCCATACGGAGCGGATAAATTTTTCAGGGACAAAACAGAGCTGGTTAAGTAGTAAGATTTAAACTCAGATAGTGGACTCCAAGCCCTATGTTCCCTCTGTCACACCCCATGACAATGTCACCAATAAACAGTGTGATAATAAGGAAAATGGTATAGTTTTTCAACAAGAATATAAAACACATTCTAGACAGAATAGTGATTGCTTATGCAGGGCTGCCCTGTATATTTTAGGACACTTACCATTCTGACCCCATCTACTGAATGCCAAAATTACTCTCTCCTTGGTCACTGGGACAAGTAAACACTGTCCTCACATTTCCAAATGTCCCCAAGCAGAGTAGTTAAACCACCTTCACAGCCACTGTGCCAATGGTGAATATACACCAACAAAAAGCAAAATGTAGAAAGCTCCATTTTAAAAAAATATTTTTTATTGATTTTTCACAGAGAGGAATGGAGAGAGACAGTTAGAAACATCAGTAAGGGAGAGACATCAATCAGCTGCCTCCTGCACACCCCCTACTGGGGATGTGCCCACAACCAAGGTACATGCCCTTGACCAGAATCGAACCCGGGACCCTTCAGTCCACAGGCTGAAGCTCTATCCACTAACCCAAACTGGCTTTGGCAGAAAGCTCCATTTTTACCCTACCATTCAGTAACTCCACTCCTGGAATGTAACCCAATAGAACAGTAATTTTCAAATTGTGGTCACAAGATCAATTTAGTGGGTCATGGCTAGTACTTTTTCTTCTTAATGAAAAGGAATAAAAAATATCAGATTGTACCCAAGAATTTATATACATACTAGAGGCCGATGCACAAAATTTGTCATCTGGAAGCTCATTTGGTTGTCTGGTCTAATTATATATATGTTTAATATATATATGCCTACATATATACTCAAACATAAATTCCTTACAGGGAGTTATTACAAAAATAATCATGCAAGCTATTATTAGATGGCGCAAGTACAAGGGTTTCTTGAGGGCAGTGGTTTTCAAATGTTTTATAACTTCAGATCACATCAGCAAGAAATACATTTGACATCACAACACAAATCAATCCAATCTTTCTCTCATGTTCATACACACACTCACTCATAATTTAACTAAAATTTCACAAAGCTATATTTAACATTACTCTATGGTCATTAACCAGTGCAAAACCTTACCCTAGAAAAACTTTTTCTTTGCTACATGATTTTTATTATGGCTAAATATACATAACATAAAATTTATCATTTCAATAATTTTAAGCATACATTTCAGTGGTATTAAGTACATTCACATTATTTCATAACCATCACCACCATCCATCTCCAGAACTTTTTCATCATCCTAAATGAAAACTGTTCATTTTCCTCTCCCCAACCTGACAACTATCATTCTACTTCCTGTTCCCATGAATTGACTATTCTAGGTAGCTCACATAACTGGAATTATATAATATTTGTCCTTTTGTGTCTGGCTTATTTCACTTAGCATAATGTCTTCATCCATGCTATTTCATTCTGAATCACGAAGGCACTCAGGTTGAATAGTATTTCATTGTATACAGAATATACCACATTTTGCTTACATATTCATCCAGCAATGAACATCTGAGTTGTTTCCACCTTTTGGTTATTGTGAGTGATGCTGCTAGAACACAAATGTATAAATAGCTATTTGTTTGAAGACTTTCAATTCTTTCAGGTATATACGCAGAAGCAGAATTGCTAGATTGTATGTTTATATGTATATATATATATATATATATAGATAGATATATTGAATATATATATATATATATATATATATATATATTTTTTTTTTTTTTTTTTTTTTTTTTTTTAAACAGTACAGAGGTCTTTTATTTTTTTGCACTTGTCATGCCATGAATTCATAAGGGAGCTCAGGAGCTCAGGAGCTCAGGCTCCTTTCCACTGCTTCTGACAACGTGCTTTTCTGGATGGAGCAGGCTGGCACTTCAGCTGAACCCAGAACCTTTCACTTTGGCTTCCTTCTTTTTCTGATCATTGTCCTTCACACGTTTCAGGAAGCTATCTCAGCTCTTCGAGTGCTTTATATGCTCAAGGTGTACATTAATCCTCTGGGCAAGAATCTTGCCCTTGTTTGTTTACAACAATGCCCACCGCAGGCTGGGTAACTGTAGGCTCCTCTAGTTGGCCATGGTGACATCTGTAGGGCATTCCTTTTTGAACAGTGCCCATTCCTTTGATGTCTGCAGTATCACCTTTCTTGTAGATTCACATGTGTGAGGCCAGAGGAACAGCTCCATGTTTTATGAAAGGCCTAGAGAACCTATAGCGGGTGCCTCTCCTCTTCTCCTTTGTGTTAGTCATTTTAATGAATTATTGGAAGACTAGTAACCCAGTACATGGATTAGTACACACTGAAAGGCAATTAATTAGAACATGGCTCACAGGGTGGGACTGGGAGAGAAGGGCCAGACATGCTCTGGAGCCAACCTTCCACAGTCCCTCCTCAGCATCTGCACTGAGCAGGGTCCCTCCAGCAGGTGGAGTCCCTCGGCCTGGCTTGCAGGGATCAGGATGAAACCGGCTCTCTGACATCCCCTGAGGGGCCCTGGAGTGTGAGAGGGCACTCTACAAAGCTGCTGTCAAACAGGGTGTAGAAGGCAAATGCAAGTGTGCAGTAAACCAGATTCAGGCTGACAGTGCCCCAGCAACAACATAGTCCACGGCCAAAGGTGGAATTGCATGACCCCCACGAGGATTTGGGGTTTCAGGGTGCGTCACCCAGGAACCACCGCTGCCAAGTCACTGCAGCTCAGCAGCTCCTGTGTTGAGTTTCTGCCTCCTGGTGATCAGTAAATGTCATAGTGACCAGTCAGACACAGCCTTTTATATACACTAAGTGGCCAGATTATCATGATCTCTGAACACTTAATAATCTGGCCACTCTGGGGTGTGCGTGCGTGCGTGTGTGTGTGTGTGTGTGTGTGTGTATTAGAGGCTCGGTGCATGAATTCATGCATGGATAAGGTCTGGCCAGCCTGTTAGGGGGAGGGGACATGGGCGATTGGTTGAACTCCTCGTGGAGGGGACAATTTGCATATTATATATAGGTTATACACTGAGTGGCCAGATCATTATGTGTTTAGAGATCATGATAATCTGGCCACTCAGTATATACAGATGGTATTTAATATAAAAAAAGTTATGTTTAGATTTTTGAGGAACACCATATTGTTTTCTCTAGCAGCTGCACTATTTTACATTCCCATCAGTAATCACAAAGGTTCCAATCTCTCCATATCCTTCCCACACTTGCTGTTCCTGTTTGTCTGTTCGATAGCCATCGTAAGGAGTATGAAGTGGCCCAGAAAAAGACTCTTGCATGTGTTCTCTCACAGAGAGGAGGGAGATTTGTACACTAAAGGCTCTGCTCTGTTTTTCACAATAGCATAAAATGGACACAATCCAAATTCCATCAAGAATGTTTAATTGTAGTATATTAATCCTACTCATGTAATATAACACCATATATATGGCAGAATGAAACATGAATGAATCTCAAGAATATAACTGGGTAAAACTTGAAATTATAAAATATGACATTCTATTTAAAAAAGATTTTAAAAACAGTCAAAACTAGATAATATACTATTTAGGGATACATATGTCTTAAAACTATTTTAAAAATCAAAGAATGATTAAGTGATTAACAAAAAATAAATATCAGGATAATGGTTACTTCTGAGGAGAGTAGAAAAAAGATTTTAAAGGTGATATTCTTTTTCTTAAAGTCAATGGTGGGTACATGGATATTTGCTATATCATTTTTCTTTACTCCTTATATATCTTCTATAAATGCTCTTTTATAGCCATTCAATATTTACTAAAAAAAAAAATTTTTTAACTTTAAAAACCATTTAAACTTTAAAAAGGCATAGTGGGCAATAAGAATCTGCCCTATGTCTCCCAAGACAAGAGTGAACCTAAAACAAAACTACTGAATCCAATCACTGGATTAGCATAATAAAGAGAGAAACATCAATGTAAGAAACGCAAATCAATTGGTTGCCTCCCACAGGCACCCCACCAGAGTCGGGGATTGAACCTGTAAAATTCTATTTTGACTAATAGAGTCTGTTCACATATTCATACAACAAATATCTAGTGAAACTGTTCCATGTGCTGAGTATTATTTTAGCAGCTGGGGGTACAGCAGCATCTCCTGCATCATTGGTCTGATATTCGGAATCCGATGTAACTAACAGGTTAACTGTTGATTACCCTTCTGACTAATGCTCCAAGGGCACTCATCCTATCCCAGAGAGACAAGTCAGAACAGGCTTTGGGATGGCACAATAGTCAGGGCTCTGAATACAACATCTTGTCATCCCGTTCTCCTTTACATACAGCCATGTGCTTACTTTGTGAAGGAATGGGATTTGTACACCAAAGACTCTGCTCTGCCATTCTGGTTAAGAAAATCATCTCAATAAGAAATGAAATATGTTTTTTACCAAAGGCCCGGTGCACAAAATTCAGGCACGGGGGTGGGGGGGTGGGGTGAGGGAGTAGTGGTGGAGAGGGATGTCCCTCAGCCAGGCCTGCACCCTCTCGCAATCCAGGACTGCTGGCTCCTAGCCTGCCTGCCTGTCTGATCGCCCCTAACCCCTCTGCATGCCTACCTGATCGCCCCCAAACACCTCTGCCTGCCTGCCTGATTGTCCCTAACTGCCTCTGCCTCGGCCTCCATGATACAGCTTAGTCCAAAAGGATGTCCGAAAGGTTGTTCAGCTATCTGGTCTAATTACCATATTACGTTTTTATTAATATAGACAGCTATTTAATCTCGTTTTAGAGGAAATAACCCATGTTTTCTTTTCCAGTTATATTCTTTCTTTTTTTTGTTTGTTTGTTTGTTAATCCTTACCCGACGGTATTTTTCCATTGATTTTTTTTTTTTTTTTTTTTTTTTTTTTTTAGAGGAAGTGGAAGGGAGAGGGAGAGGCAGAGAGAGAGAAACATCAATGTAAGAGACACAAATCAATTGGTTGCCTCCCACAGGCACCCCAACCAGAGTCAGGGATTGAATCTGCAACAGATGTACATGCCCTTGACTGGAATTGAACCTGGGACCCTTCAGTCTGCAGGCCAACTTTCTATCTGCTGAGCCAAACTGATTAGGGCTCAGTTACATTAAGAAAATATAAAGCAAATTCACTTTGTCATGAGGTAATGACATGTTGGGCATTTCCTGTTCTGGTGTTCTGGGTGTTACAAGCATGTTTATACTGTCACTCACTCAGATCCATGGTGGCTCTGTGCCCCATGCACCTGTGTTTATAAAGCCATCAAGAGAAAGAGTGTGGATGTTAAAAGAAAATAAAAGTGCTATACTTTCAAGAAGGATCTACTCAATGACCTTATGAAAAGATCCTTTTCTTTGGCCTCTTGTTATTACTAGAACAAAAAGGCAGGGCACGCTAGTCCTTTCTGCTCTGCACCTCTATAGCCTTATTAATATCTTTAAATTCAGTCAATTTCAACTCAAAACTTTCCACCAGTGGAGGAGGAGCAAGGGGGGAAAGATTTGTGGCTGCATGTTTAAGAAAGAAGCTGAATTCATCACAGTGACAGGGGAGAGTGTTGGCAGAGATGTGAGCTATTTATTCTTTTAGGAAAATCCTATAAAGAATGACACAAGGAAGCCTCTATCTGCAGTCTTGTTCATCACACTGGTGAAGAATCCGATAACAGATGTATGCAGCAGCGTGATTTAGTGCCAGGAGCTGGCCCCTGATGTGTATTAATACAGCGGCAAAGCGGAACGCACCTCTCTTCATCAGTCATTTCTATAAAAGAGGTGGAATCCGAGATGGCCCAGTGTTAGGCAGAGCAAGCCCATTTGTTCTACTGACTGATGGTGTGGGCTCAGGCTATGTCCTTCACCTCCATGGGGCACTCAGGTTGTGGATAGAAAAGAAAAAAAAAAAGAAAGAAAACGTTCAGTGAAGCAAGCCTTAGTCAACAAGTGAGGGGAGGAGTTTGGATCAGCAGGGAAATGTTTAATGCTCAAATCTTGTTTAATACTTCCCAGAAAATTTCCCGATTTGAATACAGAATAAAGATTTTAAATTCTTCTCAACAGTTCTCTTATAAACAAAAGCAAAAAACAGAAGCTGGACATTAAAGAGAAAAAAAGAACAAAAAGGTAAAACAGGGGAGACTGTGCTTCCGATACCACAGACTGGATGAGGACCTGGGTTGTGAGCAGAGTCATAGTTTGGAACCAATCCTATCCTATAGAAGACCAAGAGTGCAGCTCTAGAGTCATAGGGAAGCCAGTCTGACCTTGGCTCTGCAATGTACCAACCATGTGACCTTGGGTAACTGATTAACCTCTCTAGGGCTCAAATATATCATGTGTACTGGAAATAAAAGCAGCATCCACCTTATACAGTTGTTGCAAACATTAAGTGAGATAATGTATGCAAAGGGTTTAGCTTAGGATGGCTATGTGGAAATCACTTAAAAAATTTACTATAGTCATTAGACCTGTGATTAAGATTATCCATTATCATGACAATCTTAGTCTTTTTTTTTTATAAATACATTTTTATTGATTTCAGAGAGGAAGGGAGAAGGGAGATAGAAACAGCCATGATGAGAGAGAAAACATTGATCAGCTGCCTCCTGCACAACCCACACTGGGGATGTGCCCGCAACCAAGGCACATGCCCTTGACCGGAATCGAACCTGGGACCCTTCAGTCCGCAGACCATCGCTCTATCCACTGAGCCACACAGGTTTCGGCAGACAATCTTAGTCTTACCCATTATCAAGCAGTCTTCTCAAACTGAAGCTGCCGGTTTGGCTCAGTGGATAAAGGTTTGGCTCAGTGGATAAAGCCTCGGCCTGTGGACCAAAGGGTCGCAGGTTAGATTCTAGTCAAGGGCACAAACCTTGGTTACAGGCTCCTCCCCAGCCTATGCCCTGGTCAGGCCTCAGGCAAGAGACAACCAATAGATGTGTTTCTCTCACATCCATGGTTCTGTCTTTCCCTCTCTTCTACTCTCTCTAAAAGATCAATGGAAAAATATCCTCAGGTGAGGATTAACAACAGCAAAACAAAACAGAAACATCAAACAGAAGCTTGAAGAGGTCAATTTCAGAGCATGCTGAAATTAACTAAGTAAAGGTAAGGGAAAGACTTCCCCATCTGTCAGAGGTCTACTCTCTATTCAACAATTAATTGCTCTGCTCTATGTATAATATACGTAAATACATACTTTATTATAATATATAGTCTTTTCTGAAGAAAATAAAATAATTTATGATATACTCAATTTCCACAAAATGAAGTCATTATCATCAAGAAAAGAACTGTAGCCGAAACCGGTTTGGCTCAGTAGTAGAGCGTCGGTCTGCGGACTGATAGGTCCCGGGTTCGATTCCGGTCAAGGGCATGTACCTGGGTTGCGGGCACATCCCCAGTAGGGGGTGTGCAGGAGGCAGCTGGTCGATGTTTCTGTCTTATCAACGTTTCTAGCTCTCTATCTCTCTCCCTTCCTCTCTGTAAAAAATCAATTAAAAATATTTAAAAAAAAAGAAAAAGAAAAAAGAAAAGAACTTTAGGTGGTTACGAGAGAAGGGGACTGAGGATAGGTGAAAGAGGGAAGGAAGCCAACTGTATGGTGACAGATAATAACTAGACTTTTTGGGGTGGACACTTTATAATGTATATAGATGCTGAATTATAATGTTGTACACCTGAAACTTACATAATAAAAAGACAGAAAGAAAAACAAAAGAAGTGTAGGTATTTCTGATAGGTCTTATAATCAGATATGATCTTTTCATTCAGAGTAATTCATCCTAAACTGTATTGAAATAACCTAAAGGACTGTCTATGATTACCAATTACATTTAACTATTTTCCCTTAACCCCAAAGAAAAAGATCTATAGACATCCAATGTTCAGCTTATTTTAAAAACAAACAAGCTAATATAAATAACTATCCCCCTTTGTTTTAATTTAAGAATAACATAGATGTAGTTAGTGCATAAATCATAAATGTATGTAGTTCAGTGAATCTTTACATATGAATATACTCATGTAATCCCCACCTAGTTCATGATACAGAACATTTCCGGCATCCAAGAGATTTTTTTATGTCCTCTCCTGGTCACCAGTGATAAACCACTATTTTGGTTTCTACCAACTAGTAGTTTTTCGCAGAAAATTTAAAGTTTTTAACTTGAAAAGCTGTTTTTTACTAAGAATTTCATGACAGGTAAAATATTAGCACTCTACTATACATAAAAACAGTGAGAATTTACTGTACTGTATACTAAATTAAAAAGTAAATAAACCCATGTGGCTCTTTGCCTACTGACTAAATGCCACCCTAATGAGATTTTCATTAACAAAGATCTAATTTCTTATCTGTAATAGAAAAAAAAGTGCAAATGACTGAAGATTATTTTTACTGAAATATAGGGATTCAAACTCAAGAAACCTGTGCGACACAGTGAAAACACAGACTGCAGGGTCAGACAGAACTAGGTTTAAATTCTTAAAATATGTCTAACCTTGAAAAATTACTTCTTACATTCTCTGTTTTCTCACATAAAATGGGAATAAAATGGCCTATCTTATCATAAAAGTTAGGCGGAAGGGTATATAAAACACATAATTCAGTATCAGGTGCTCAACATATAATAACTAGGGTATAATTACCTGCATTTGGGTTAGACAGAGATGCTGTGGCCACAGGCTTCCGTTTCCTCTTGATGTCACGTGAGCATGGGGGTCCCAAGTGTAGGCTTGCCTGTCTGCAGAGGTAACAAAGAAAACATACTATTTCAACTTCATAATTCTCATTGTTTAAGACACTATGTCCAGCCCAGATAAAATCCTTGACCCAATATAGATATACTAACAAAATCAGCAGCAGCTTTTGCCATCAAGTGTCAATACAAGATCATTCACAATTAATCATAATTCACTCTTTACTCACAAAATACACCCAATTCTGAACTTTTTACCTGATTAGCAAAATGGCAGACATTCAAGATTAATTTCAGTAAATATGTGTTTCATTACATGCTGATTTTTGTACATTTTTCATAAAAACTATAAACCTCAATTGTTTTAAGCTCACTAATGAAATACCTACTCCCAAGCGGTAACATATTGAAAAGTTTAATGCTGCATGAACACAGATATTTGCATAGAATTATAATAAGAAATTTAACCCTTCTTTCACTATACATCCGCATTTTTAATAATGTCTGCATAGCAGTTTCTGGGATTTTTAAAAATATAAATTATGTGCTAATAACGTGTTCCCTTTCCAAATGTTCAGCTTATTTTAAAAACAAAACAGTGAGAGCTTCAACATTAGAAAAGCAAAAGATTCTCTGAAAGACAACGGGCTATTTTAGTTCCCCACTTCCTCCTTCCTCTCAAACTAAATGGATATGATGTGATTCAGACCAAGCTGAGTCTCATCTTTACACAAAGCTTTCCCTGAGCATTCAAGGCCTTACCTACCATGAGTTACTATTTAACTGCTGTACATATATCTTGTTTCCCTAACGAGGCTTAATCTTCTTGAGAACAGGGACCATATTTGTATTTCTTTCATAATTTTCCGATGTTCTACCAATCTCAGCAGAAGGCACACAACTGATTCCCCATTAAATATCTATTGACTAGAACTGATATGAATGAATAAAAGTTCTAAAAACCAATAGTCAATTGTACATTTAAAATGGTAAATTTTGTTATGCATTTTTTATCACAATTTTTTTTTTAAATAGCCAGTATACATAACATATAAAAAGAAATCCAGTAAAATTATACCAGATAAACTCCTAATTAGTAGTCCTAGCTGGGGATCAAGTCTCATGGCTTGGTAAACTTGAAACTGAACTCTCAGTCAAATCTCTGAGTTAGCAAGGTAACAAGACAACTGAATGGATAAATTTTTTTTTTGGGGGGGGGGGGCGCGAAGGGCCTGCCTATCTGGTAACTGTCACAGTTTAAAAGTACATATATGTAAGTGCTCTCCCTTACTCCCTCCCTTCTTTCTTCTCTCCCTCTAGCTCTTTCTCACAAGCTCTTTTCTCCAAATAGCAAAAGCTTAAGACCATCCAATTTATAAGAAAAGATGAAAATTTGGGCATAAGAAATTTTTTAGATTGCAAGGAACACCAAAATAGGCAGAGTCACACTAGAAAGCCAGTGGTTTGGCAAAGTCCATCCACTTTTTATTGATCACTCTTGTCTATATGGGAAAAAGAGTTAACTTTAAGTATCCCATGAGTAGTTAATTCCAAATTCCAACGTGAAATGTGTGAATGTAAGTGTGTAAAAAAAACAACTCATCTTTCATACCTTACGTAAGTTCCGAGAATAAGTCTCAATCAGCGTACTGATTTAATAAGAAAGACAGATGACAGAATGCCAAAAGTAGACAGGCCTTTAGTCTAAATATAGAGATAGTATGGTAATTCCTTTTGAAGCCAGACAAAGGCAGAAAAGAAACTGATGCTATAAAATTTGTTTCTCCTCAAAACAGAAATTAAAGAATAGTTTCCATCTTTTCTACAAACAAGGTAGTTTAGTAAGTTCAGCCCCAAACACACAGCCTAGGCACTTTGTTCTAATTCAATCCTGCTTCTCCCAACGTACTTCAGAAAGAGAAACAGTAAAGGGAAAGTTCATATTCATGCACTTTCTTCTTTACTGGAAGCTCATTTAAGAACTCTTCAAAACTTCTTAGATTAAATGTAACACCATTTCTTCAAACTAAATACTGTTATTAGACATCAGGACAGTGGTACATTTGAGATGCAGGGTGTGGGGAAGAGGGCAGTGGCTAGGAGCTTCTGGGGTTCTTTCTGATAATGTTCTGTTTCTAGATGCTGAAAATTCATCAAGTATATATTTATCTATAAACTTTTCTATATGTACATTGTCCTTCAATTAATTAAAAAACATTGTTTCTTCAAGATCAATGTTTGTAAAATGCTGGGTTTTAGGAAACATGCAAAATGAAAAGCCTAAGAAAGGTACTTAAAAGGGCTTTAAGATATTAATTCTTAGAGTATCAACTTGGGCTGAACTAAATAAATACTGCCTTTTATTTATACACTCTTCATCATTTTCACAGCTCTGCATGTTTGATATATGTCAGTAAGATGGTTAAGGGCACCTATTATCTAGTATATCACCACTCCTTATGGCCTTGGTCAGTATCATTTATCTCACTTTTTTAAGGAATGACACACTTTGGAGTAAAAAGGTAAATTTATGTACCAATGTTTAAATTTTTGACCATTTAAATAGAAATACTGTGGTTTTAAAAAAATACGGTACTTATTTAAGTAAAATGAAAACAAGTATTACTTACCTGCAACTATGCACATAGGTTATTATACTGCACTATATTCTGCAATGTCTTTCGGGGACTGCTGTGAACAGAAAGGCTCAGGTGGTCCTTATGATGCCCTGTCCCTCTGGGCCACGGTCCTTGAATCCCCATTCTTCCCTGCTCATTGATGGTACGGGCTTCAGGGTTAATTGTCCTACATTAAATGCCACCCCACCCCCCACCCCCAAACTGCTAAGCCTCCAGCCTGTTACTTTTCTCTGAAGTAAACATTCTACTTCTACCACCTCATTCCTAGTTAAATTCTGGGGAGGGAGAAAGATAAACAGTCCAATTACTTGTTTTGGGTTTTAAATGGACACTAGTTATAGGAAAATCTACTTTTCCCTGTGACGGCTCTGTCTGCTTGGGAAAAACCTTAGAGGACTAAAAAGGAAGAGAACCCAGAGCAAGCCTGGAGAAAGCAGGAGGAAGCTGGTGCTTGCAGCAAGAGGACTTAAAAGGAGACAGGACATGGAACCCGCCAAGCTGCAGAGCACATTCAGAACACAGGACAGCCCTGGTCAGGAATAATGAATAATCTATGTGAGGCTGGAACCTGAGCATGGGGCAGGTAACTGCTGCAGCCTCAGCTTCCTATTCAAGAGGTAGTTTCCATTTTTTGTTTATCCCAAAATAATTGCATATCAATCAATTGCAGACATAAAGAATCAAGATGAGAAGAAAAAAATACATTGATCTACCCATTTCATTTTGTAGTACTGAACCACCTTGGCTTTTTTTTTATTTTTAACTAGTGGCCCAGTGCATAAAACTCATGCACTGGGGGAGGAGATTCCCTCAGCCCAGCCTGCACTCTCTACAATCAGACATCCCAATCTGGGACCACTGGCTCCTAACTGCTCACCTGCCTGCCTGATCGCCCCTAACTGGCCTCCCCTGCCGGCCTAATCTCACCCCCAACTGCCTCTGCCTGCCTGATCACCTCTAACTGCCCTCCCCTGCTGGCCTGGTTGCCCCCAACTGCCCTCTGTGTCTTTCTGTTTTTCTCAGTAGTCCTCCAGGCTTCCCTGCCTGCCTCCCAGTCTCCCTCTTCCTCTTTCCTGGCTGGGAGGGGGCAGGGCCAGTGGGGGTGGCTCCACACTCTGCCTGCCATCCCTTCTATCCAGGCCTCTTCAGGCCCAGTCTGTTTTGTTTCCTCATTCCAAGAGCGAGCTGGGAGGGAAGGAAAGAAAGGGAAAAAAGGTTGTGAGCTGGTGGGCGCTGTGTGTGTCTGTGCATGCGCGAGGTTGTGAGTGTGAGTGCAGGCTAGCCTCTCCCATCACCGTCTCTGCTGCCACAAGTCCCCTCCCACCAGAGCCTGCTGCATGAGCAGCCTGGGCATTAGATCAAGCCTCCGACATTGTGGATGTGACGGACCCAGAGTTTTTATATATTAGGATGTGTTGTTTCTTTAATTTGTGTTATTTTACTCTGACATTATCACTGTCTACTCACAAGATATAAACTGAAAGGGCAATGAACAAGTGAGATATCACAAAGGACATGGAAAAAGAACTTGAGCTTCCCCTTCTAAACACAAAGAGCCCCCTCCCTATAGGTAGAAAGGGGAGATGATTTAACTAGATTTTTAAAAACTCTTTTTCAAGAGCACTGTACAGTTGTTTGTGTGTTGCAAAACGAGGTACTTTATATGAGGGGACCTTTCAATTATGTAGGGGGCAAGAAAAGCTAGATATAAATTAAGCTAAAATGTCTATTTTTTAAGCTAAAATGTCTACCAAATTATTAAACTTCCTTCTCAACTGAAGCAGCCAATGTTTACCAGAATGATGTAAGAAGATTTTAAAAAATACACAACCCCCACCATGCTGGGGTGGGAGAAGAATCAGTAATTATGTTTATTTTCAAATTTCTTCTCAAGTACTAGTAATACCAATAAGTTTCTACTCATTGTGGAAATTACTAAGCTAAAAAATATATCAAATTTCCAAAGCTAATAAACTAATCAATAAAAGAGATCTAAATATTTAACTTAAAGAATAACAAGATGATTAAAATTAATGTAAATTTAGACAAAAATACTGTTCCTCAATATATAAGCAATTAACCTACAAAAAAGACAGGCTAGGCTTGTTCTGTTTCATCTGATGGAGCCTCAGTATTCCTCAGCCCTACTTCTTCACAGCATGAAGCCAGGTCAGTACTTCCCCTAAAAGCATCATGTTCAACAACATTCACCAAAAGAATGCATAGGGGAAATGAGCATTAAAAGCAACAAATACAGTTTTTAAAAATTTCTTACTTCAACCTGCCCCATGTTTCAGGTTCGATCCCCAGTAGGGGGTGTGCAGGAGGCAGCCTATTGGTGTTTCTCTCTCATTTTGATGTTTCTATCTCTCAATCCCTCTCCCTTCTTCTCTCTAAAATCAATAA